AGCGTGCTAAACTTCTCATCGCGATTTCTTGAAAACGCTTGAGAGTTGCGTCGTCTCCGTTTAGCATTTTTTGCTCTTATATCCAAACTACATTTCTGCAAAGTTTCATAAAAATCGGTGACCCCCAGGGTGTAGGCACCCCTTGTAAGTGCAAAACGCTTGCTAAGCGCTAAGTTCTGTTAAACGCCATTCACTGTAATATTAACTAATTTTTTGTGTTAATTATTTGTTACTTTATTTTGAGTTTCTGCTTTCTTGTTACAAATACTAAGTATAATAAACTTTTTTTGAAAATTGTGAGTGAACAATGTTTAAAAAAAGTAAATACTTTTGAACTTGTAGAATTTTAAAATAATAACTTAACATTTGGGACTGTTAATCAGGAAGGAAAAGAAAATCAGATGGTATTTACTTATTGACATTTGAAAATTTACATTTGACAACAACGCTATAAAGCAGCTTGTTCTGCTAGACACATATATACAAGATGTTCAACAAATTTTGACCAAGCCAAAGTGTAAAAGTAGATTTTGTTAATCTGAATAGAAAATTTATATATCATTTTGAAAAATTCCGAGTAGTTATTGAATAGTTAATTAATACATGTAAGCTAATGAGCGCGCGGGAAGCGATGGTCCAGACTCTGTAGGCGTACGGTTATCAGCTGTGAAGAAAGATGACTCCTTCATGCAACGTCCTAGCAACGCAGCGCGGAATAAACAAGCAAGCGTGGCGTGATTTAGCTTCTAGCAAGCAGCCGATATTCGGCAATATGCAAGCAGGAAGCGGAGGGATAAGAAGACTGCTTTCCGCGATGAGCTGATTCTCACGGCGATATACGCGGCGCTCGCAGCGAACGGCGTGTGATATAAGAAAAATATTAAAAAGAAAGTAAAAAACCACAGAGCCTATGGTTCAGATAGGAGGTGGACATTCAGATTGACGTCAAAAAACGTAGTGTATTCAGGACGTTTCGATCATTTATTGTTGATCATCTTCAGCACTGTTTAATACAATAATATATAAAATAAATCAAAAAATTAAACCAAGTAAAATATATCTGTTGAAAAATGATGAACAAATATAAAAGAAGTGCATATGTATGCACCTAGCTCGACTAGTCAACACAAAGACCGCTCAGTGCACGCCGACAAGAACCACGAATCAAAACAGTAGATGACATATACATGCCGAACATCAAGGTACAATCTATGTATCAAAGATCTATCGAGAATTCAAAAAGAATAAATAATATGTGATATATTCAAAAAGAATAAATAATATGTGATGATATAAGTTAGTCAGCATTTGAGATAAAGTTTAAGTCAAAAGAAAAAGTCATTATCTATAAAAGTCAAAGTATAAAAATGTAGTCAATGAAAAATTTTTTAAAGTCAATGAATAAATAAATATAAAAATGACGTCAAAAATACAATTGGCACTTACTTATAACATTTCAAAATTGTTAAAACCAGAGTAATATCGTAGTCCTCACCCACACACAAAGACACGGAACAGAGTCCGACCGTCTTACAATACATATAATACACGTATGAAAGATGTCAAAAATAACGCACAAAATCAAACTCAAGAAATAGAGAGAGGGAGGAGAGAAAAACAGCACTTGAGAAGGAACACATGACTAACGAAGCTTCTTAAGAACAGGTGTGTAAATATTATCAAGAAGTTCGGTATCCTTCATTAAATTAACATTCGTTTTCTGTGTTTTTATGTTCAACATTTCTGAGATGAGTCTTTTATGATAAAATTGCTCTTTATCAAAAATTTCTACTTTATCCCACTGAAAATCATGGCCAAGATCACTACGGTGTTGACTAACCACAGACTGTCGTTCGTAATTCTGGTAAAAATTACGTTGGTGCTCTGCTAATCTTGTAATTGTAATCTCTCCGTAATTGTCTTCCTGCTTGGCCTACATAAGAAGCCTCACAGGAAGAACATTTAATTTTATAAACTATGTTGTTGTTTAAGCCAAGTTCTAATACATTTTTGTGTGACTTGATAAATCTTTTTAAAGTGTTTAATGGTCTAAAGGAACATTTGAAATTTTCTTCTTTCTTTAAAGACCTAATAATATTATCAGTAATCTTAGAAACAAAAGGAAGAGTAAAAAATCTTTCTTCCTCTCTCATGACATTTCCCGATACGGTCTCAAAATTAACATTAAGCCTTGCCAAAAACAAATGGTGTAATCTTTTTTTAAGAAATTTAAAGATAAACTCTAACGGATATTCATTAGATGATAAAATGGTTATAACCTTGTGTAAGTTGTGTCTGTAAAATTTTGGATGTGAAAGTGAGATTGCTCGATCAACAATATTATAAACAATTCCAATTTTTGTTTGAGAGAATGGTGTGAGAAAAAGCTGAGATATCTTCCCGAGAATGTTGGTTTTTGAAACTAGTTTAACATAAGTTTGTTGTTAACAACTACAATGGAAGAGTGTCAAGAAAATTGATTGTTCTATTTGATTCTATTTCTAATGTGAACTTAAGTCTTGGGTGGTAAGAGTAAAGAATGTCGAATATCAACTTTACTTTCTGTCTAGGAGCTGCCAATAGAACATTGTCGACATATCTGAAATAGAAAGGTAATGTAAAATCTAATTTTTTTTTTTTTTTTTTTTTATCAAGATAGAGCCTCCAGATCTTGTAAAATTATGTTTGCTATAATAGGTGAAAGCGGAGAGCCCATGGGAGTTCCACACAAGAAAAATATTATTAGTAATCGGACAAAAAAACGTTTTCTTTATTTTGATACACAAAAAAAATAAGGGAAACATCTTTTCGTTCAATACTTATAATATCTGTTTTTTTATAACTGAAGGAAGTGAGAGCGTTATCATTTCCTCACCATCTTGCGGTAGATAGCACGGTGCGTTTTTTTCAAGTGGTTTCCCCAGAAGGCTTAATCCACTCTTATTATTTAAAGTAAAAACTGTTCAAAATACCGTCCTCCTTCTCGTATATACAGTTTGACTCTTTGAACAATGTTGCGCGTTGCACGGTGCGCCATTTCCGGCGTAGTGGTACCAAAAGCCGCAACGATAGCTTCACGTACTTCATTTTCTGTAACATTACGCCGATATTCTACCAAATTTTTATGTATTCCCATAAAAAATAATCTAATACATTAAAATTTGGTGACCGTGCCGGCCACCAAAGTAGTCTTTTTTCTCCCCTCCGCTGCTTGCGTATCGCCGAATATCGGCTGCTTGCAAAAAGCTAAAACGTCACGCTTGCTTGTTTATTCCGCTCTGCGTTGCTAGGACATTGCATGAAGGAAGCCATCTTTCTTCACAGCTGATGACCGTACGCCTACAGAGTTTAAACCATCGCTTCCCGCGCGCTCATTAGCTTACATGTATTAATTAACTATTCAATAACTATTGGGAATTTTTCAAAATGATATATAAATTTTCTATTCAGATTAACAAAATCTACTTTTACACTTCGGCTTGGTCAAAATTTTTAGAACACCTTGTATAATACTTCTATATTGCTAACATGGACCTAATGGACAGCGCGTTTTGCTGTGAGGTTATAAGCTAAAAAGAAGAAGGAAGATAGTGTCTAAAGATGTGTTCCATTTGACCACAGTACGATTCGACACCGCTTCGACAGCAAATTATTGGACATAAAATTATTCGACACCAAATTATTTGACATTGTATGATTCAACGCTAAATTATTCAATAAGGTACTATTGGATACAGTAACAAAAAATGTTCATCGTGACAATTACTGATAGTAATAACATAGGTTAAGTTAATTAAAAAAAAAAGTTAAACTTTGTCGGCGACGGGGTGTAGGGAGAGGGGCGGAGTTCCTTCCCCGCCCACACGTGTACAATAATGTGTGATGCAAACAAAATATTTATTTATAAAAAGTACACGATATCTGAAAATGTAGTGTATCAAATAATTCGGTGGTGAATAAGTTGATGATGTCGAATCGTACGGTGTCGAATAAATTGGTGTCGAATAATTTTGTGTCTAATAATTTTTTGTCGAATCAAACGATGTCGAATCGTACTATGGTCAATAGAATATCCCAAGCAAAAGGCTAGCTTGCCTCGCATCAAGTAGTTTGGTCTAAAAATTTGAAAGTTTTACACATAATTGTCGATGAAATTGTATATAAAATAAACCACGATCGTGATATCACAAGGGACAAGCCACGATGTTATTGCCATGATGATAAGTAGCTAGTGTCCCATATTATCCGCCGCCATATTGATGTCTGCAGACGTGAAAACAGCTTTTGTATTTTTTTGCCTCTCATTTTATACTCCTCTCTTCCTAAACTATACTTTACTTCTATTAGGTTAATGATTGCTAAGAAGATTGCCGACTTCAGAAGGTCGATTGTGTATCTTTGTCGAATGTTCTCACTTCTTGTACTTTCATCTTATATAAAAAAATAGGCACGATTGGCTACGTGCATAGTGAAAATGCGACATCATTATGCTCATAAGAGTGAAAATCCCAGATGCAAGTGCGAGCAACGTTTGGAATGAATACATTTATAATATACAATGGATACAAATAAGATATAAAACAAAAATATGTCATATCTTAAATACAATATATATATATATACAGGGTATCCCAGAATTGCCGTATAATCTCTCGTAGGCAGGTAGAAGTAAAACTGACAAGAGGAGCAGAAGTGGTTATCGTGAAATTCGATGCCAATTTTTTTGATGGTTCTATAGGTCAAACAAGTTGTTCCGTGTTCGGCCGTTTGTTCCAATGGGCCTTAGTTTTCAAGTTTTTAATTTTGAAAAAACACGGCTTTCTTAGGTGCACCGGAAAAGTCGTTTCGTTAAGAACCGTTAAATCCTTTGACTTTTCGACTCACAAGGGGAACACCAGACATTGCTCCCTCCGATTTGGCTGACTTTTATATTATTATGCCCGCGCGAACAACCTGTCACTCTCGCTCTTCAAATCAGACGCGAACGCGCGGCCGAGGCACAGGAAGAACGAGATCTCTTAATATTGCACTTTATTAACAGAAATACAACGTAACGGGAATCGACGAGACGCATCGTAACAGCTTCGTTCAAGTCTTCTCATCAACAACCCTGTCGCTCAGCGACCGACGAAAGCATCGAGCGCGCGCCGTTCACACGGCACGCGCGGCACGCACGCGGTGTCCGCGGCGTAACATTGCTCCCCCTCTTCAAGGATTGTCGTCCCGACAATTAACATGCTGGTTTCCGTCAATTCCAGGATCCAAGCTCCTCGAATCCAATTGACACCAGCTCCTGACGTTTTCAGAATCCCGACGAATTCACCTGTTCTCCTCTAGACTTTTGTCTAGAGTAAATGAACACAACGTCGAACTCTAACGTCTCTTTCTCTTTTTTTCTTAATTCTCTTCAGACAAAGAGGCAGTTCCCGTGGATCCAATGTCCTTAAGGACACCTCAAGTCCCCGCTTCGGCATTTGCCTTAAATCCCACGGGAAAACCACGGTCAAAAACAGTGAGCCAGGCGGTCTTTCCTAATACAATACACGTCGCCACGTCCCGACGGCCTCGACAACGCAAAACTAGAAAAATAAAAAGCAACAAAAACACAACAGCAACAAAACAAAGCTTAAAGTTTACAATTTACGTTACAGATTGAACCGAGAGAGCATAGAAAAAATTCCATCTTCCGAATTAATTCATTCGTCATTAACGCGCGAAAACCTCCCTCTCCAAAACCCCGCAGCAGCTGCGCTTCACCACTACCGCAATCTCACAACAACGCAAACAGATTTCTACACCACTCTAGAACCATAAGGATTTTCTTTTTGAAGGACCAATAGAAATTACCACTAGAAAACCTAGAAAAACAAAAACCTTGAAGCAAGAACCAAAACAAATGAAAACCGAGAAAACGTTGCACAAGGCAGAGAAGCAGAATTAGTCCAATTGACTGGAATCAAACCTAACTAGGACTACCTTCAGAAGAGATGATGAAC